CATGGATAGCCAGTTTCCCCAGCACCATTTGTTAAACAGGCTATCTTTCCTCCAGCATGTTTGTCTCCCCTTTGTCAAAGACCAGGTAGCAGAGTGTGCTTGGAGTTGTTTTTGCATCATTTATTCTGTTCCATTGACCCTCATGTCTGTTGTTTATATCCCTGTAGCTTGGTGTATAACTTAAAGTCCAGAATTACGGTTCTTCCTGTGTTGCCCTTGTTGCCCAGGATTGATTTTGCTATTTCAGGTCACTTCTGGTTCTGTATGAATTTTAGGATTGTTTTCTCTAGTTCTGTGAGGAATGTTATTGGTACTTAATTGGGATTGCATTAAGTCTGAATATCAGTTTGGAAGTATGACCTTTTTTTTTTTTTTCCATAACTAGGGATTAAACCCAGGCCCTTGTGCTTGCCAGGGAAACGCTTATTCTACTGAGCCATCTCTCTGGCCCCCAGCAGGCCCACTTTGACTGCATTAGTTTTGCCCATTCAGAAACAGGCACTACCTTGCTATTTTCTGGTGTCCTCTTCTATTTTCTTTTTTTAGAGTATTTTAATTTTGGGGGGGGTGGTAGAGGCCTCTCACTTCCTTGGTTAACTGGTAGGTGTTTAATTTTTCTTCATGCTATTGTGGAAAGTATTGTTTCTCTAATTTCTCTCTCTGTGAGTTTATTATCCACATACTGAAACTCTATTGATTTTTGAGTGTTGACTTTGTGTCCTGCTATGTTGCTGAATTTGGTTATTAAGTCTAAGAGTTTTTTGGCAGCATTTTGTTTCTGTAGAGGATTATGTCATCTGCAAATAGTGATAACTTGACTGCCTCTTTTCCTATACATATCTTTTTTACTTTCTCTTGCCTGATTGCTCTGCCTTATACTCTGAGAAGACTATTGACCAGTAATGATGATAATGAACATTCGTGTCTTACTTTAGAGAGAAAGCTTTCAGTTTTACTCCATTTAATTTTATGTTAGCTATTGGGTTGCCATAAATGGCTTTTATAAGGTCTTTTTAAGTTTTTGAGACAAGGTCTTGCTGTGTAACTCAGGCTGGCCTTGAATTTACTATGTAGTCTAGGACAACCTTGAACTCAGGGCAATCCTTTTGCCTCAGCCTCCTAAGTGCTGGCATTACAAGCATGTGCCACCATGCCCGGCAAGATAAGGATTTCTTATACTTTTTTTTTAAAATCATGGATGGATGTTGGATTTCATCAAAAGCTTTTTGGACTCCTCAAAAATCCTGTCCTTGTTTGCCTTGGTTTGGTCCAAGAACCTTTGCTTCTTGATTTTTTAGACTAGATTAAAAAATCAGTAAGAGAAGAGAGAACAAAGAATAAAGAGCAAGGGGCCCGTTTGGGTTGGGTTAGGCAGAGAAAGGTTTCCAGACAGGCGAGTTTCGAAGCTCCAAGGTGAGTCTGTTTTGGCAGGGGTGGAGGGAGAAAAATCTGGGGAGGGCCTGCTCCTGAGATTGCATGAGAAACAGAGGAGAGACATCACAGCCACAGCACCACCACAGAGCGAGCCTGTGCCTCTTTTATGTTTCTTTTGTCACCAAGAACAGCGAGGCATTGTTCCTGTAAGGCTGGGCACCTACCCTTAACATTACACACAGACAAGACAAGCATACAAGACAAAAATCAAACAGCAATTCAAAAACCATGGCCAAAAGAATCTGGAACATGCTACCTATCTGGTTAAGACACAGAATGTAAGCCACAGGCTTTCAAAGGTGGGGGTCCCCTTCCTCTGAGGTTTGTGGGGAGGCTCAAAAGCGGAAAGGGACAGGAAGTTAGGTTCGCTAGCATGCGCTTTGGGATCTTTGGGCTTCTTAGGTCTCAGTAACGTTCTTTGTAAAATGGGGATAATGAAGGGGCATGACACAGACACTAATGTTTGCACTGGCTCCAGAGAAGGGAGAACTGAACCTTTAAGGTAGCAAGTGTGAAAACATGAATGAATGAATGAATGAATGAATGAATGAATGAATGAATCTTCTACACGGGTTCCTCCTCCATACTGCCCTTATTAAGGCAGTGGGAGGTAAGGGACCCCTGCAGCTCTGGGCTGCCGGTACTCAGCGTGTGTATGTGTGTGTGTGTGTGTGTGTGTGTGTGTGTGAGAGAGAGAGAGAGAGAGAGAGAGAGAGAGAGAGAGAGAGAGAGAGAACCAAGGCCGACCTTACAGGTATCATTCTCGAAGATCGGTATTTGATCTTCCCGGCCCTGAACTCCGTGGGCCCGGGTACTAGCAGTGCCCAGGCGATGTCAGGATCCCAGCGCTCTGGAGGCACGGAGCCCGGGATCCGCTGCATGGGGAACTGCGTGGGGGACGTGCAGGCGGAAGCCCGCTGCCTTCCCTGGGGAGAGCGATCTGCGCCGACCAGGCTGGAGTGGGGGCGGCTGCCGAGCACCTTTGGATGCTGTGGCTTCCTTCCAGATCTTGGTCACACGTATCTGTGGGACTTTAGGGCGGCGGCGGGGGGTTGGGATGATAGAAGCGAAGCCTCCTTGGCAGACGAAGTGGGGGAGGGGGCTACCTAAAGTGGGAAGAGAGCACTGGCGAAGCTATCGGCCCCTTTAAGAGGCCGGGCTGGCTTTGCGGCGGTTCCAACCAACCCGTCCTTGGTGCAGCTCTGCGGTCTGCATTCTGGGGCAGAGACTCGGAGCTGGAAAGAGCTACAGGACCAGATGCAAGAGAGGGTACAGTCCAGCCGGGGAGAGGGGCGGAGCCAGAGCTGCAGCAGCCGGGTCTGGCCACCGATAAAGGGGCAGGGCCATTGATGGGCGGGGCTGCAGCATGTGGGCGTGGTCTGCCTCTGCGGGCCTTGGAGGCGGAGCCTGTGCCCGGGGATCGCCGCAGAGGGAGGAGAAGTGGGCGGAGGCAGTTCTGGGGGCGGGGCCATGGTCTGCAGTGGGCGGGGCCACCGCAGAGGGGCAGAACCGGTGAGAGTCCTCCGCGCGCGGCTGCCGCGGCCCCTGCACAGCGCCTCTGACAGCGCCCACAGTGAGATCGAAGACCCTCGGAGCTACGTGCAGCCCGGCGGCCTCCTCTGTGCCCCAGGAGCGGCAGTATTCTTTCATTCGCCTCGGCGCCCGCTTCCCGGGACCGTCCGACCCGCTACTGCTGCGGAGGCCGCATCTGACGCGCATCTGGAGCCTCAGGCCGGCCGCCCTGGAGCCCGCGCCCGCCCTCGCCCGGCCGCGCCGGGAGCCCTGCCCGGAGCTGGAGCCGCACTTGGAGCCGCGGGCCCGGGGCCCTGAGCCCCGCAGCCGGCGCATG